ACTCCATTTCTTCTAAGGGTTTCTTGCCCACAGTAGTAGATATAATGGTCACCCGAATTAAATTCACCCATTCCCGTCCATTTCAGTTCGCTGATTCCCAAGATGTCGATGTTCAATCTTGTCATCTCATGTTTGACCACATCCAGCTTGCCTTGGTTCATAGATCTTACATTCCAGGTACCTATACAATATTGTTCTTTACAGCATCGGACCTTCTTTTCGCTTACTTGTACTATTGACTCCTATAATGAAGTTTTGACTGGTTGAAGATTCTTGTCTATGTTTCTTCTGGACCACTTTGCTGCTTCCTCTTCTCTTCCTTCTTCACTTGTTGTTTTCATTGCTCTGCTGACTTCCCTTATTTTCATCTTTTCTGCTTTTCCTTCAGCACCTTATCTCCTGTTTGCTGTTGTACATTTCCACAGCCTCTCTTTTACTTTTCATCCTAACCCACACTTTCCTCCCCTCCATTCCTGCCCTCCTATTTTCTACAACTTGTTTTGTGAAGCCCTCTGGAGGAGGCATTATATAAGCATTTCAAAGCAACATATTTCACACTGAAGCTAGAATGACATCTACTGAAACACAGGAAAGTTCATGAAGGCTTTTCAAGGCAGATAAGTAACTCTAAATTCTGCTGTCTAATGCAGTTAATATATGTTGGTAACCTTGGAAAATGTTAACAAGTAATTATCCAGAATAAGAGTTCATGTGTTCCCTCAACGGGAGAGAATATGTAGGTACCAATTCAGTGACTTGCAAAATTAGTAGGTGTAGAATTAAATAGCTTAGGTACACTACTTTATATACTTGAAGTACAGCTTCATGTTCCTCCCTTCATGCGCTGTGTGTCTCTGCAAACCATGAAATTTGATCCAAAAGGTTCTGATTTTTTGACCACTATACAGGTGGTCCTCCATTTATGACCACCATTGGGACCATAACTTCCATCACTAAGCAATGTGGTCATTAAGTGAGTTGTGCCCAATTTTATGACCTTTTTTGCCACAGTTGTTAAGCAAATCACTGCAGTCATTAAGCAAATCCAGCTTCCCCCATAGACTTTGCTTCTCAGAACCCCCCTGGGAAGGTCACAAACTGTGATCACATGACTCCAGGACACTGCAACCATCGGAAATACATGCTGGTTGCCAAATGCCTGAATTTTGATCACATGACCACGGGATGCTGCAGTGGTCATATGTGTGAGGACTGGTTGTAAGTCAGTTTTTTCAGCACCATCATAACTTCAAACAGTCATTAAATGGTTGTAAGTCGAGGACTACCTGTAGTCAATTCTGTACCATTCAAAGCCATGTTACCACTAATACAGAAAAGTGGTTTTTTTAACTGTGCAGTGCTTTGGATTCAAAGGCCAAGAGATGCTTTACAGAACACGTGGGGGCAATCATGTAATACCTGCCTGCAATTCCTGAAGGCAAAGATGCGTTTTCCTAGGACTGAGCATCTGCCTCATTCTGCTCACTGGCTTTTTGCTTTGTCAAAGGTTGGAGAAATTGCACAGATGGAGCACTTGTGTGGAAAGGAATTATTGTTCTACCTAACTTCAGCAAAACATTCTGGAGCAGAACAAAGATTCTAATGAATTCTATCAATAACTGAAAACAGATAGGAAATCCAAGACTTTAATCAGGGTGGGCAACTCTTTGTTTCCAGGGTCCATATTCTCTATTTTAAAGCCTTTTCCCGCTTCTGAGGACCACAAGGGGAGTTGCTAGTGACACCTACGGACAAAAATATTTGCCTTGTTTTGCTTTGGTGGGGTGGTTAGAGAGGTCTTCCAAGGCCACAAAAATAGGGCTGGCACACTGTGCTTTGTATACCCCCTCACTCAGAAAAATTATTGCCCAAGGATAACTGCGTTAAAAACCTGCATTTCTCAGCTTTTGATGAAGAGCAAATGCCTCCTACTAGGGAAGATTTTAAAAAAGGTCTACTAGGAATGTTCTTCTCCAGACAGCATGGCAGTTATGACTGGGACTGTTTATATGTTGGTTAACAACACCAAAAACAGGAAGAGGCTTTTAACAAACAAAGGAGACAGAAAAGTGAATACACATTTTGCCTTTTGCTTTGGCTTCTAGTAGGGCTAGAGACCAGCTGTTTTTTTAAAAATGAAAGATGGGAATTTTTGGATTATAATCCACTCAACTGACCCACTCCCATGAATGTAAAGTACCTGCATTTATAAGTAATCTTCACTAGCCTCTTACTAAATTCATAAACTTTCTTTTCATAAGCCTTACTTATAGTTGTTTTTTTCATAGTTGTATGAAGGTAGAGTGGAAAAAAAATAAAAATGTCTGTCCTCTAGTCTTGTAGTCCAGCCTTCTTCTGTCATGGTTTAAGATAGCTGGAAACGAAGGGAACAAATCTGTTTATCCAACCAATTTGCTCCAACTAATATGGATGGCATTGGATTAGGTATTACAAGAAAACATTGTAATACAGGTCTTGTTATCACTGTAATATAAATGCATTTAATGCTTCTTGAAGGTATGAGTCTACAACATATCTGAAGCTGGGATAGTTTTGTATGACATTCATATTTTTTTTCTAGTCAGCTGTGATGCCAGATTCCTTAAGTCCTGCAAGGCTGGGTGAAACAAGTCATGAAATAGATGAGAAGGTAATAGAAATGAGACACTAATAGCATTTATTTCTTAAGGACCACTTCATAAATTACAACAAATTACACCAAAATGTCTAACCATATTCCTTAATGGTTAAGGGGTGGGGTGAACTCGTACCTTTCAACCTGGAGTTGTAGGCCACTGAGATAAACCATGCCACGACTTTGAATTTTATGACATTTACCCATGCAACCTGTGGGTATCGCTTGTGCCTGTGGACCTTCTGTTGGTTCTTATCAGTTTCTCTGCCCCAGCTGACATTTTCCTTTTTCAGTTTTGAGTTATTTTAACCCCCCAGTCCTTCAAAATGAAAAGTTGACATGCTTCAAAGCAAAGTGCTATTTTTCAGCATTTTTTAAAAAAATACAAATGGCTGCCTGCAGTCCATATTTTGTTTGAAAGTATAGCTCCCTGCTCAGAAAACAAGGATAAAGAGAAGCTCAACTGTATGGAGTATTCTGGGGAGTGGTAAAGAGGAGTGTTTGGGGACTGATCATACTCACAATGGCTGCCATTTTGTGATTAGGTGAATTCACCCGAAGCACCTCTTTGGTGAGGCATATGAGACCTAGTCTCAAAATTCCAAATGTTCTGTGCATCAGAATCATTTGGGGATGACTGCATTACTGCAAGTGCAGTAGAAATGGTAACTGGGACTATAGCATGAAACTGCCTCAGTTTCAGCTTCTGGTCCCCCAGCCATACACTTTCTATTTGGAAGAAACCAAGAAGGTCTTTCCTTTGCTTCCACACTTCTGTACTTCCTGGATTACTGAGATGTAAACTATGCAAACAGGTTGTAGTCCAGAATCTGTTGGGAAGATCACCTTGATAATACACTGTGTCTGCATAGAGATTCTCCACAGCTTAGTTCAGAACTTCCCTAGCAAGGCAGAAGTATGGGAACCATCATCCATAGGAAGAGCTACCATTCTGAAGAGACTTTTGTCACATGGTTTTAATAGTGTGAACTGTTCTACTGATGCACTTTGTCATATATTTGCTGTTCTGAAAGGCAAAAGAAATACTTGCCTAGTACCAGCTCTTAAGTGTGCTGGGCCAGTGGTAGGCATTTGTGATGGGAATGGTCTTCAATCTACTCCACATGCTGTTCTGTCAGTGCTTGGAAGATCACTGGAGAAGGTGATTTAAGAGAAGTTAACTCATGATGACAAAGCAATCTGGACACCCACAGTCCTTTGTATCCCAAGAGCTTCCCTTGAAAGTTTGCTTGCCAATGCACTTTGCAGTCATTGTAGTTGCATTTAGTCTCGAGTTTGAGAGCTCAGAAGAGATCACATTGTGTGGTGTGAGAAAGAAGAGTGCCCTCTGTCAAATCTTGGACTGGGTGGTTACTCATAGGTGTCATGTGATTGAGAGTTTCAGCTAATCAGCAAAAATGTGAATGAAGGTAATAGTTTTCCATTGGGCAGGGAAAATGTGTTGGCCCCAGGAAGGTATAAAAATAAAGGAAACTCCTGAACCTGGCTTTGAATTCATTTCTAGAGTGAATTGGATTTGGAATTTGTTTTGTTTTGTTTTAAATAAGTGAACTTAGCTCTTACCATCATTTTTTCCTTCTTCTTGGGATTTCTGTAGGTGACGACTGTCAAAGTGTCATCTCGGCCAAAAAAACACCACTCCCCTTCTGGAACCATTGAAACTGTCAACCTTGATGCCATCCCTCTGGCCACAGCTTGTCTGGACAACAGTGCAGCAAAGCACAAACTCTCAGTCAGGCCAAAGAATCAGAGGGTTTCCAAAAAGCACAGGTTGTCCAAGGTATTGAATTGATTCCTATGATTGTACCAATAAGAGGTCTGAATTTTAGCTGCTGATTTTAGGACACACAGATCTTCTAAGAATGTTAGGTAACATTTGAATCTTCAGATATTACACGTCAGCCAGTATTCATGGATGTGAATCAACCTCACACCATTTGAGAGATTCAGTGCCATGCTATATATGATGATCATTTCTCAGAAATAAAGTCATAACTAACATGGACCACTATTTTATTTACTGACCTGCATTTAATATGCTTTTCTTATTCAGCTATAATAAAAAATCACATTGATAAATCTTGTTCTCTTAGAAACAAGTATTGCTTAGACCAGGAAAGTTTAAATGATTGGATTTTTTAAAAAATTGCATTCTTGTATTTAAAAAGCTGTATTCTTTTCATATCCAGGGGTTACTTTCATTAGTCTGTTGGACAAAATCTCAAAGAGTCTTGAGGCAATTTGAAGAGTAAATTATTATGTCACAAACTTTCATGTACTGTTGTACATAAAATGTTATCTTTTGTTATAGATAAATTAGAAGCAGAACAAATTGTACATGTTGAAGATGGAGGAGAATGAAATGTAGAAATAACGATTGCTTAGTTCACCAATACCAGTGTACTACAGTACTATAGTTAACAACTGTTCTGTGAATGGCAATATCAGATATTATCATCTGCATTTCTGCATCTTATTTCCAGTTCACCTCACCATTTACAGTACCTTTGCCACTCTGGAATTCTTTGTGCAAGTACACACCAGAACTGGGGCTCAAGATAATTTATTCTCCTGATGAAATTGATAGCAACCCATTATGATAACAATATATGAAACATATATTATGATACATTTGTATCATGCCTTCTTGTTTTTGCATGGCAGATATTAGCTTCATATTTAGAGGCAGCATGACTTTGTTAGCAGATACTGGAAGAAGCTCTGCTTGTGAATTTCTCTGGAGCCTTCTGTTGGCTTTTGTGGAAGTCCAGTGCTTGCCTTATCATCTAAATATGGAAATTCTTGGATTCTCATTCCCTTATTTAAAGGAAGAAAGTTACTCTACCCATGTCTTTGATTACAATATCTTGCCAGTAACTGTATCCTGAAACTTTCTTAGATTAATAGTGAATTTCTGAATGGATATATTTTCTAAATGGTAGAAAAGACAATGCTAATGCTAAAATAGACATTTCCAAAAATAGCAGCACAATCCTATGCATGGGTGCTCAGAAATGAGTAATCCTATATATACTTAGTGAGAATTTTGGCATGGTACTCAGTCTTGAAAATGAACCTGTCTGTTGGAAATGCTTGAAACCTGGATGGAGTCAACATGTAGCAAGTTTCCAGGTCCTAATCTGTGTTATGACATGTTGCAATGTTTTATATAGTAAGTCAGTATTGTTGCAATATATGACTAAAACATATTAAAATGTATTAAGTAAACCTATTTTTATTTCCCAATACTAGGAGGTACAAAGTGTAATAGCAACTGAGTTTGGACAAGAAATCCTAGAATCACAGGACAGTGAAGATAAAACCTCAAAAGATGATGGCTATCATGGACAAGGCAAGTTAATCCAACACAGGGAAGTCCAGGAACAGAAAACTGAAGGAAAACAAAAACAAGATCATTGGATAAATCTTGAGACAGGGAAGAAGGAACAAATGGCTGAAGTAAGATTTAAAAGCCATATGGAACACAAAAGACTTCAAGAATTTGAGGGAAGCCAAGGAGAACAAGCAGGAAAAAAACCAAAGCTTCAGGAAGAGCAACTTCATCAAATGGAAGGGAGAAAAGATCAAGATCATCAAGTAAAAGGGCAAAAAGAACAAGAAAACCAGGGAAGGAATGAAGAGAGGCCTGAAAAATTGCAGGCACAAATACAAGAAAAATCTCAGGAACTAGGGGAACGAAAGCAAATGAATCAAGAACAGGCACAACATGAACTGGAGGCACAAAGACAGCAGGAAGAGCAGAAACTGCGTGAAATGGACATGCAATGGCAGCAGGAGAAAAAGAAGAAACAACAAGAACTAGAGGCACAATGGCAACTGGAGGAGGCAAAGAGACAATATGAACTGGAGGTCCAAAGACAACAACAGGAAGATCAGAAAAGATGTGAAATGGAGGCACAAAGACAGCAGGAAGAAGCAAAAACACAGTGTGAACTGGAACTACAAACACAGCAAGAGGAAGCAATGAGACAACATGAACTGGAAGTCCAAATACAACAGCAGGAAGAACAAAAGAGACAATGTGAACTGGAACTACAGAGACAATGGAAGGAAGAACAAAAGAGACAACGTGAACTGGAGGTCCAAAGACAGCAGGAAGAAGCAAAGAGACAACATGAACTGGAACTACAAAGACAGCAGGAGGAAGAACAAAAGAGGCAGCATGAACTGGAACTACAGAGTCAGCGGGAGGAAAAAGCAAAGAGACAGCGTGAACTGGAACTACAAAGACAGCGGGAGGAAGAACAAAAGAGACAGCGTGAACTGGAACTACAAAGACAGCGGGAGGAAGAACAAAAGAGACAACGTGAACTGGAACTACAAAGACAGCGGGAGGAAGAACAAAAAAGACAACGTGAACTGGAACTACAAAGACAACGGGAAGAAGCAAAAAGACAACGTGAACTGGAACTACAAAGACAGTGGGAGGAAGAACAAAAGAGACAACGTGAACTGGAACTACAAAGACAGCAGGAGGAAGAACAAAAAAGACAACGTGAACTGGAACTACAAAGACAACGGGAGGAAGCAAAAAGACAACGTGAACTGGAACTACAAAGACACCGGGAGGAAGAACAAAAGAGACAACGTGAATTGGAACTACAAAGACAGTGGGAAGAAGCAAAGAGACAACGTGAACTGGAGGTCCAAAGACAACAGCAGGAAGAATGGAAGCGACATGAACAGGAGGCCCAAAGGCAACAGGAGGAAAAGAAGAGACAATGTGAGCAAGAAGAACAAAGGCATAAAGAATGTGAGGTACAGAAACAGCAGAAAGTCAAAGATCAAAAAGAAGAAAAGAGACATCAAGAAACAGAAGAGAATGGCAATTCGATCCAGGAAGGATGGAAGGATAAAAAGCAAGAACCAGAGAAGCAAAAGGCCCAGGAAGAAAAATTAAGCCATCAGAATTTGGAAAAGCAGAAGATGAAAGAACTTAAAACAGGGCAAACTGATGAGTCTGAAAAGGTGTCTGAACTGAACCAACAACCACTGCAAGAGCAAAAAAGAGAAATAGGACAGAGACAGAAAGAACGAGAACACAGCAAAAATCTAGATGGTAGAGACAAACTGCAAGAGAAGGGAATAGCTATGAAACTAAAGCAACAAGAAGAGCAACAGCAGAATCTGGATGCAAAACAACTAAGTACAAATGAACAAAAGCAGCAAAAATCAGCAAGATCGGTTGGATCAACAGAACATAGAAAATTGGAACCAGCAGAAATACGGCATTTGTGGGCTGAAAAGGAGGTACAACAGGAAGAATTTATACAAAGGACAGAGGGACTACAGTTGGAAGGACAGAAAATCTTCTGTTTAGGAGAACAGAGGCCATTGGAAAAGCCAGAAGAAGACGACAAATCCCACCAGTCACAAATGAATATAAATCAGCATTCAGAAGATTTGGAAACTGTTGAGAAAGAGTTACCACTTAAAGAAGAGCCAAGACAGCAACAGAAAACTCAGCCAGGCAAAGAACTGAAAGAAGAAGGAAGTCTAAGAATTAATCAGAGGATGAACATTGAAGTTGAGGAGCAGGAAAGAGTTCTTGGTGAAGAATTACGTTGGCAGGAAGTTGATGCCCGGCAAACAATGTCCAGGGGCTTCACCTTTCAAGTGTCTTCTGGAGAAAAAGAAATTATATTTCCAAAAGTGAATTTAACCCCAGTTACACCTACTAAAGAGGCACCACTTCCTTCTGCCACAAAAGAATTTAAAGATCCTAAATCTAGTAGAGGTTCTAATAGTCTTCCAACCTCTTTGTGTGTCCCGCATACAGCAATCTTGGTCACTGGAGCACAACTCTGTGGCACTGCAGTAAATCTCAACCAGATAAAAGATACAGCCTGTAAATCTTTACTTGGTTTAACAGAAGAAAAGAAAGCAATGGATGTGGCTCAACCCGAAAGCATCCAGAAACTTGTTGATGGCAGGCCGAACAGCACTAAAGTGAAGCATGTTCAAGACTCAATGGACAACCAAGCCATCCTGGCTGAGTGGGCTTCAATTCGGTCAAAAATCTTAAAAGGTGCAGAAAATGATAAACTTAATGAGAAAGACAATGGGAGTCTTAATAGGCATAGTGATGATTGGACAACTAAAGGTCGAAGTAATTCCCATGGTAACTTACGAAAGACTTTGTCTGCAAATGCAAAGTTTTCTATAACTCCTGCATGGCAGAAGTTTTCAGAAAGCTCAAAAATCAACATAGCTGCAGAGAATAAAACTGCTCCTGAAGTGGAAAACGCAGCAATGCAGTTGAGTCCATTGACTCTGGATGCAAACAATGAGGCAATCCAAACAGAGGCACCAGTTGGTACAAAGAATGTAGGAACGTCACCAGGGAAAATCAGAGGGCAACAGGAAGTAGCAGGTAATACAGAGGGATGCAAGTTTGCCAAAGATCTCCCATCTTTTCTTGTTCCAAGTCTCCCATATTCTCCAAATAAAGAAACCTCCCCATCAGAAACTTTGTCAACAATGGAAACTCAACAGAATGTTGGTTCCAAAAAATTGGACCGAGCTTCACCAAGTGGAGAAGAAAACGTGTCCCCATTTGGAGTGAAATTAAGGAGGACCAATTATTCCTTGCGTTTTCACTATGACCAACAAGCAGAGCAAAAGAAGAAGAAAAGATACAGTGCAGGAGATAGTTTTGATGGCTTGCCAACTCCACTGGTCACCCCAGACAATGAACAAGATGCAAAACCTTTATTTTTAAAAGACAGCAAATCTCTGAGTCAAGAGAGAAAGGATGCAAGGCTTAACTCTGGTAATACCACATTAACTATTATCAGTCACAATTACACCATAGTTCCTCCTATATCTTCTCCTACTGGCCATATGTCTGCACCTGGTCAAGAAAAATCTGTTTCTAAATCACCACTTCCACCAAAACCTGCATTGGCTCCAAAGCCCATCAGCCAAACACCACCTCCCTCTCCTCTCTCAAAACCCCGCAGATCTCACTTCATTGAACCCATTGGGAAAAGGGGGTCTAAAGTGGAACCTGACACCAGCTGGAGAAAAAGTGAAAGCAAAGGGAGTCCTCACCTCTACCAAGCAACCAGTGAAAGCAAGAATGAGGAGGAAGAATCTAGAGAGAAAAAATCATTTTTTCCATCCATCACCATGCCCTGGAGAGAGAAAGCAGAGAAAAAGCCGGAACCATTGAAAAAAGGTAGGCAAAAGGCAAGTCCTAAGTACACCTTTCTCATGAAGACAGCTACCTTTGATTAGACACCATAAAGTAGACAAAGTAACATTACATCAAAACTTTTGAGAAGACATTCAGCCTCAGTCAACAAATTTGGTGCATGCCTGTTTTATGTGCCCCAAGACACTCCTCTTTTCCTCTATGCAAAAAGTTGGGGTTTATACATGTGCCTGTTCACAAGAAGTTAGCATGTGGACTGGGAGTAGACATATGCTTGATTGACTTGAATTGACCTGATAACTCCAGTCTTTTTTGAGTACTGCAAACTTTGCAGTACTCACATCACCTTAAATAAAGACTGAAGTGCTCCCTCCAACAGGTATGTAGGTAATTTGGGACCACTGTGATGTCTGTCAAAGAACTCTTAGGGTTCAGGAGAATTCACAAACAAAAATAGGGATCGAATATGAATAAATTGGGTGCCTCTGAAAAGTAGAGATGACATAAAATCTGTGAACAGAGTGACAAGTCTGAAAAAAAAAATACTTAACCAAAGTGAGAGATACTTAACATAAGCCACCATCACTTCCGAAGTACCAAACCTTTTTGTACATGGTACATATGCAGAGCTGATGCGCGTGGCAAATCTTTCCCCTTCATTATCTGCCTTCATCCATTAGTTTATATACAACAGCTTCTTCCACTGAGGAAATCCTTGCTAGCGGAACTCTTCTGTCTGATATTACAGGCTTAAGCCCTCAAGAGATTCCTGCTCAGCGCGTAAGACTTTTCTGCAGATATTCTGCAGGTAGAAGTCTCTATTCCATGTTCTGTATGCCACCTACAAGCTTAAACGTTTGGTCAGATATCCCAAAATAGCATATCAAATGTATCCAAAATTAAACACCCACACTTCTAGAAATAGATAGAAGTGTTGGTACTCACAGATGCTTAGTTAAAACCAGTCCTGACATTTCTAGGGCAGCCAGCATTGGAATTTAAGGATGCAAAGCTTTGCTAATAAAGCTTTGAAAAGTTGGCAACACTGAAGCGTTATCCAGATGTTTTCCAGAGGTGTATTAAGCTCCCAAAGAGAAAGAAAAAGAACATAGGACTTTGAAGTGCTCTATTGGTGCTCCAGCTAACAAATATCTTTCCCCCATGCATTTGAGGGAGAAACACTGTGCTATGAGAGACGATCTATTTTCTGCCTTTTTTAAAAAGAAAAATACATCATTTCATGGCCTAGAGAAAGAAAATGAATGTTAAAACTGAGTAGGGAAGGAAATGCTTCATGAAACACATAAGACATGCTATGGGAGCAGATGTGTCTAGCAGATTTTGTTTTATAGATTTAAAATAACATGCTAGAATGGTATAAACCTATGCAGACTTTGCAAACAGACCATTTTAAAATTGTCGAAACAATAGATCCAATTTTAAAACCCCATGAGGAACTGGCACACTTTAAAAATATAAAAACATACTGATCATTCATAGACAGGATGCAATAAATGTTGAAATTAGGCACATAGAACATCCAAGACTGCAGGAGCACCAAAAATGTCTGAAAGGATACATTTGTACATTTGAGACTTGCAGTGTGAAGGCTAATTTGTAACAGCAGCCAGGAGAGGTTGCAAGGAAGATGTTGCACACCAAGATAGGACAGTTTCCTTC